TCGAGTAGCCAATCACAGTCGGTAGAGCATAAGATTATTCAGCCTGGGCACAAAACATATACATTCTTAAAAAAAAAAATAGTTTGAAGCAAATACCACAAGCATTTTATCCAGTTTAAACCGTGTGATGGCGCAGATACTGGAAGTTTTTCATGATACTCGTAGGTCACGATTAATTTTAAAAGGGAGTATCTTCCTTAAAATCTAACATCTAGATTACGAGCTAGAGCTCGAGATTTCTATGAGGTGATAGTTCAGATTACAGCATTTCCATAGGTATACTTCTAGAACTCCACTTCTCAAACTCATTAATAATTCATCAAGTTAAAACAAAGAAAATCACAACCGTGAAGGACGTTTGGATACCCTGTCTTAAATAACATAGATTTTGAGGATTTTCCTTCTCCGTTTACCACTCCTTATTTTTTTTTTTCGATTAAGAAGATACATCAAACACTCGAGACAGTTCATCAGCTATCCAAATACCTCGCATTTTGTCGCAAATACTCCGCTGCGCGTCGTACTTTCAACTCTCTTTTCGGTGTTTGGATATCCCGATGAAACACTGTCTCTCATATTTGATATATTACTTATGGATAACCTCTATTTACCTTCAGTTTTCGTGAGGCTTGTTACTGCTAATGATCAAGGAAAAATGGCAATCATACTTTGGCAAAAATCAGGAAAATCTCCTTCAAACTGCTGCGGCAATGTAATGTCTTTTAGTTGATAGATATTTACTCGTGAGTAAATTGTATTTCAACCGGCAAAACTCTTATTTGTTGGAGTGTTTTCCAGTTCTAGACCAAAGCATGGTCTTGTACGATTGCTTTCCAAAGATTATGAGATGTTTATTTGAAGTGTATGATGACATCTTCTCTGTAAAATGCTTTCACTGATCTGCAAAACTAGAGGATTAACCCGTCGATTATGTCCTGGGGGAGCGGTGGCCTCACGGTTAGTACACTCGCCTCCGGACCGAGTGATCCGGGTTCGAGCCCTCTGGGGATATTAAGTTGCGTTCTTGGACAAGACACTTTGCTCTTACAGTGCTTCTCTCCACCCGGATGTATAAATGGGTAGCGCCGATTTTAATGCTGGGGATAACCCTACGATGAACCAGCATCCCATCCAGGGGGGAGTAGAAATAATTCTCATGGTTTCATGCTACTGAAACTGGAGATAATCGCCGGCCTGATAGGCCACGGGGCTCGTATACAGACTTAACCTACCCATGTCTTGTTCAATTCTCGAAATCACCAACTGACAAAAGGGCAATATACTGAATAAATTTGCCTACAGTTTGTGTTGTTTATCATTAATAATGTTTGTTTTTCTTCTCAGAAAATAAACAATGACTTCGAGAGGATTTCTTCTGATGCTTACGTCATTTTGGACCATGGCCGCTGGTTTAGTTTTTTACATTGTTATCAGCAAAAAAGAACCTAATGCATCCAAAATGTTCGAAATATTGTCAAGGAAAGAAGATATTGGTTTCCACAGCATGGAAAACACTTCTATTCTGAGGCAGAGACTGGGTACGAGTCTGAATCAAATATAGGATGGTGGCAGTTCGCGCGACAATGCATGCCCAACTAGCAAGAAGAGGAATTTTTTTTTGTTATTGTTGACAGATAAGTTTGTATCCTGGAAAACGGACATTTAACCAGGTTAAAGCAGGAAATTATTATAATAGCATACATTCCTGATTTCAAGTTATTACATTCACAATTCTAAATTTATTATGTGTCAGCATATAGTAGCATGTCTCCATATGTGGCTTCTGGAATGTTGTTCCCATGGTGGCCCACTTAAGTAGTCAAGCCTGTCATAATATGAAGGACCCGTACAAGAAGATTTCAAGTTCTCTTAATTTCAATGGAGTGCTTGAAGAGATCAGGCGACAAGCAACCAAACGCCCTT